ATCAACTCAATGAAATAAAAAGAGAAGGCAAGAACAGAGAAAAAAGCACAAAAAGGAATGAACAAAATCTTCAAGAAATGTGGGACTATGTGAAAAGACCTAATCTACGTCTGATAGGTGTACCTGAATGTGATGAAGAGAATGAATCCAAGCTGGAAAATACTCTTCAGGATATTATCCAAGAAAACTTCCCCAACCTAGCAAGGCAGACCAATATTCAAATCCAGGAAATACAGAGAACACCACAAAGATATTCCTCAAGAAGAGCAACCCCAAGGCACATAATCGTCAGATTCACCAGGGTTGAAATGAAAGAGAAAATGCTAAGGGCAGCCAGAGAGAAAGGTCGGGTTACCCACAAAGGGAAGCCCATTAGACTCACAGCAGATCTCTCAGCAGAAACCCTACAAGCCAGAAGAGATTGGGGGCCAATATTCAACATCCTTAAAGAAAAGAACTTTCAACCCAGAATCTCCTATCCAGCCAAACTAAGCTTCATAAGTGAAGGAAAAATAAAATCCTTTGTGAACAAGCAAGCACTCAGAGATTTCATCACCACCAAACCTGCTCTACAAGAACTCCTGAAAGAGGCTCTACACATATAAAGGGACAACCAGTACCAGCCACTCCAAAAACACACCAAATGGTAAAAGAGCATCAACACAATCAAGAATCTGCATCAACTAACCAACAAAACAGCCAGGTAGCATCAAAATGACAGTATCAAATTCACACATAACAATACTATCCCTAAATGTCAATGGACTAAATGCCCCAATCAAAAGACACAGACTGGCAAATTGGATAAAAAGCCAAAACCCATCAGTGTGCTGTATCCAGGAAACCCATCTTACATGCAAGGATACACAAAGGCTCAAAATAAAGGGATGGAGGAAGATCTACCAAGCAAATGGAGAGCAAAAAAAGGCAGGAGTTGCAATTCTCATCTCTGATAAAATAGACTTTAAAGCAACAAAGATCAAAAGAGACAAAGAAGGACATTACATAATGGTAAAAGGATCACTGCAACAAGAAGAGCTAACGATCCTAAATATATACGCACCCAATACAGGAGCACCCAGATACATAAGGCAAGTTCTTAATGACTTACAAAGAGACTTAGACTCCCACACAATAATAGTGGGAGACTTTAACACCCCATTGTCAATATTAGACAGATCATCCAGACAGAAAATCAACAAGGATATCCAGGACCTGAATACAGACCTGGAACAAGCAAACCTAATAGACATTTACAGAACTCTCCACCCCAAATCCACAGAATATACATTCTTCTCAGCACCACATCACACCTACTCTAAAATTGACCACATAATTGGCAATAAATCACTCCTCAGCAAATGCAAAAGAACAGAAATCATAACAAACAGTCTCTCAGACCACAGTGCAATCGAGTTAGAACTCAGAATGCAGAAACTAACTCAGAACCGCACAGCTTCATGGAAACTGAACAACTTGCTCTTGAATGTTGACTGGATAAACAATGAAATGAAGGCAGAAATAAAGATGTTCTTCGAAACCAATGACAATGAAGACACAACATACCAGAATCTCTGGGACACATTTAAAGCAGTCTCTAGAGGAAAATATATAGCAATGAGTGCCCACATGAGAAGAAAGGAGAGATCTAAAATTGACACCCTATCATCAAAATTGAGAGAGCTAGAGGAGCAAGATCAAAAAAACTCAAAACCTAGCAGAAGACAGGAAATAACTAAGATCAGAGCAGAACTGAAGGAAATAGAGACACAAAAAACTCTTCAAAAAATCAATAAATCCAGGAGCTGGTTCTTTGAAAAGATCAACAAAATAGACAGACCACTAGCCAGATTAATAAAAAAGAAAAGAGAGAATAACCAAATTGATGCAATAAAAAACGATAAAGGGGATATCACCACAGATTCCACAGAAATCCAAACCATCATCAGAGATTATTACAAACAACTCTATGCACATAAACTAGTAAACCTGGAAGAAATGGATAAATTCCTGGACACCTGCATCCTCCCAAGCCTAAACCTGGAAGAAGCCGAAACCCTGAATAGACCAATAACATGGTCTGAAGTTGAGGCAGCAATAAAGAGCCTACCACCCAAAAAAAGCCCAGGTCCAGATGGGTTCACAACTGAATTCCACCAGATATACAAAGAGGAGCTGATACCATTCCTTCTGAAACTATTCCAGACAATCCAAAAAGAGGGAATTCTTCCCAAATCATTTTACGAGACAAACATCATCCTGATACCAAAACCTGGCAGAGACTCAACAAGAAAAGAAAATTTCAGGCCAATATCCATGATGAACATAGATGCAAAAATCTTCAATAAAATACTGGCAAACCGATTGCAACAGCATATCAAAAAGCTCATCCACCATGATCAAGTAGGATTCATCCCGGGGATGCAAGGCTGGTTCAACATACGCAAGTCCATAAACGTAATTCACCACATAAACAGAACCAAAGACAAAAACCACATGATTATCTCAATTGATGCAGAGAAGGCTTTTGACAAAATTCAACAACCCTTTATGCTAAAAACCCTCAATAAACTAGGTATTGACGGAACGTATCTCAAAACAATAAAAGCTATTTACGACAAACCAACAGCCAATATCATACTGAATGGGCAAAAACTGGAAGCATTCCCTTTGAAATCTGGCACTAGACAAGGGTGCCCTCTCTCACCACTCCTATTCAATATAGTACTGGAAGTTCTAGCCAGAGCAATCAGGCAAGAAAAAGAAATAAAGGGTATCCAAATTGGAAAGGAGGAAATCAAATTGTCTCTATTTGCAGATGACATGATTGTATATCTGGAAGACCCCATCATCTCAGCCCAAAATCTCCTGAAACTGATAAACAACTTCAGCAAAGTCTCAGGATACAAAATCAACGTGCAAAAATCACAAGCATTCCTATACACCAGTAATAGACTTCAAGAGAGCCAAATCAAGAACGAATTGCCATTCACAATTGCTACAAAGAGAATAAAGTACCTAGGAATACAACTAACAAGGAACGTAAAGGACCTCTTCAAGGAGAACTACAAGCCGTTGCTCAATGAAATAAGAGAGGACACAAACAGATGGAGAAACATTCCATGTTCATGGTTAGGAAGAATCAACATCGTGAAAATGGCCATACTGCCCAAAGTAATTTACAGATTCAACGCTATTCCCATCAAGCTACCAATGACCTTCTTCACAGAACTGGAAAAAAACACCTTAAACTTCATATGGAACCAAAAGAGAGCCCGCATAGCCAAGTCAATTCTAAGCAAAAAGAACAAAGCAGGAGGCATCACACTACCGGACTTCAAACTATACTACAAGGCTACAGTAATCAAAACAGCATGGTACTGGTACCAAAACAGAGATATAGACCAATGGAACAGAACAGAGGCCTCAGAGGAAATACAACATACCCACAACCATCTGATCTTCGACAAACCTGACAAAAACAAGCAATGGGGAAAGGACTCCCTGTTTAATAAATGGTGTTGGGAAAACTGGCTAGCCATGTGCAGAAAGCAGAAACAGGACCCCTTCCTGACACCTTACACCAAAATTAACTCCAGATGGATTAAAGACTTAAACATCAGACCTAATACCATAAAAACCTTAGAAGAAAATCTAGGCAAAACCATTCAGGACATAGGTGTAGGCAAGGACTTCATGACCAAAACGCCAAAAGCAATGGCAACAAAAGCCAAAATAGACAAATGGGACCTAATCAAACTCCACAGCTTCTGCACGGCAAAAGAAACAGTCAGTAGAGTGAATCGGCAACCAACAGAATGGGAAAAAATTTTTGCAGCCTACCCATCTGACAAGGGGCTGATATCCAGAATTTACAAAGAACTAAAGCAGATCTACAAGAAAAAAACAAACAAGCCCATTCAAAAATGGGCGAAGGATATGAACAGATACTTTACAAAAGAAGACATACAGGAGGCCAACAAACATATGAAAAAATACTCATCATCACTGGTCATCAGAGAAATGCAAATCAAAACCACATTGAGATACCATCTCACACCAGTTAGAATGGCGATCATTAAAAAATCGGGAAACAACAGATGCTGGAGAGGATGTGGACAAATAGGAACACTTTTACACTGTTGTTGGGAATGTAAATTAATTCAACCATTGTGGAAGACAGTGTGGCGATTCCTCAAGGACCTAAAAATAGAAATCCCATTTGACCCAGCAATCCCATTACTGGGTATATATCCAAAGGATTATAAATCATTCTACTACAAGGACATGTGCACACAAATGTTCATTGCAGCACTGTTTACAATAGCAAAGACCTGGAACCAACCCAAATGCCCAACGATGATAGAATGGATAGGGAAAATGTGGTACATATACACCATGGAATATTACGCAGCCGTCAAAAATGATGAGTTCACGTCCTTTGTAGGGACATGGATGAACCTGGAAACCATCATTCTCAGCAAAGTGACACAAGAGCAGAAAATCAAACACCGTATATTCTCACTCATAGGCGGGTGTTGATCAATGAGAACACATGGACACAGAGAGGGGAGCACTACACACTGGGGTCCATTGGGGGGAAATGGGGGAGGGGCTGGGGAGTGGGGAGGTGGGAAGAGATAGCATGGGGAGAAATGACAGATACAGGTGAGGGGACGGAAGGCAGCAAAGCACACTGCCAAGTGTGTACCTATGCAACAATCTTGCATGTTCATCACATGTACCCCAAAACCTAAAATGCAATAAAAAAAATAAAAAAATTAAAAAAAAAATTTTCAAAAAAAAAATATATACTTCTATTTTAACTTGTGTGATTAATTTCATAGCTGTGATTTAAATTATATTTCCAAGGACAATATATATTGGAAACAATAAATTATTTGGTATTTGTGTATATGTCTATATATATGTATATATATGTACAGGAATCTTTAATGTTCATGTGAGTAATGAAAATACTTTTTTTTTTTTAATTATAGTGCATGCAAGATATGGGAAATACTAAAGCAAGACTACTCTACGAAGCCAATCTTCCAGAGAACTTTCGAAGACCACAGACAGATCAGTATCCTTCAAAATTTATTTTTTTGAGTTTAAAAAACATTAAGTTGTTTTGACTGTTCATATTTTATCTGTTAGTATTTAGGAAGATATGTGCTTTATCACACTGTTGTTTATTAAAGATAGAAATTAACTTGCTGTGAGCTGTGCTTTGTATATAGTAGTTTTTTAATAGGAATTTGGTACACAGATTACATAATTACCTAAAACTACATGATACATATGGTATTTAGATGTAATTACAGACCCCTGATTTAGTGATGGTTTGACTTACGATTTTTCCAGTTCATGATGGTGAAAAAGCAGTATGCGTTTGGTAGAAACTGTACTTTGAGTACTTGTTTAACCGTTCTTTTGTCATATTCAGTACAGTATTCAATAAATTACATGAGATATTAACTACTTTATTAAAAATAGGCTTTGTGTTAGGTGATTTTGCTCAACCATAGGCTAATTTTAGTGTTCTGAGCACATTTAATGTAGGCTAGGCTAAGCTGTGTTTGGTAGGTTAGGTGTATTAAAGGCATTTTTGACTTAAAATGTTTTCAACTTAGGATGGGTTTACTGGGCCCTAACCCACTGTAAGTTAAGGAACATCTCTGGTACTAAGTTTAAAATGTTATGACTGATTCTTCTTGATTGCGCTCCATCTCTTGATTAAAAAGTATGTGTTGTTTTTAATTTTAGACTGTTATTAGAGACTTGATTTGTAAGCATCCTGAGTATTTAAAAATTACTTCCATATATTCTTTGGTTACCTTTATATAATAGTTATATTTATGTGAGGCATTGTGGCATTTAGAAGACAAATTACATAGTATACATTCTGAGTAATTTATTCTGACACTGTGTTATAGGTTGTACAACTATGTTTGCTTTATGAATCCACTTTTATGTGCGGATAGGATATTTTCCCATAGACATTTTAATATATTTTTTATGTTTGTTAAATATAAAATCATTCTGTAGCATTTTTGTGAATCATAGTTTGAAAAAGCAGCTCATCAAAATTGTGCTGCTTTATAAATAAGATTATCTGATTAATTGTAGGTATTTGGATTCTGTTTGAGGGTAACATTTGTGACTTTGACAATAAAATGTAGTTTGTTAAGGATAAATTGTACCCATTTGTATAGTAAAACAATTTGTGTGGCCTATATCACATAGAGATACAGGTCATTAGACACTTAATTCCATATTTTGACAGAAATCTTTTAAATTATAATTTAAATTGAGAAGTTAGTAATTTGTATTTGGCCTTTTCTGTTTCTGCTTGCCCTACTCCTTTCTCACAAATTTAGCAATCTGATATCCAAGGCTATTTTTGTTTCAGAAAGTTTGCAGGGTTAATGGTAGAAGGTTCATTTCACGTAAAAAAAAAAAAAATGAGTAAAAGTCTGAAGGTATGAGGGAACATGACCTTTTAGGACAGAAACAGCTTGGAAAGTATTTTATTCCAAATTGCGAAGGGTTTTCAATATGATGTAGTTTAGACCTCATTTTGTTGGCCCAAGTGTTTAAAAACACATGAAGGGTTTTCAAGCAGGGGAAACATTAACTTCTACCATAAGGTAGAATAGTTGGGGATGGGAAGAGAGCCTGGAAGCAGAGAGACCACGTGAAATACTTGTACAGACCCAAAATGAGCAATGATGATCTAAGTTAAATAGTGGCATTGGGAATGGACAGGATTAAATTTGAAAGATTGAAGTTGGGAAAGCAGGAGTAGTTGGCTAGATTAAGATTGGCTTTGGTTCTGAGGGAGTCACTAAAATAACCCCCGAAATTTCTAGCTTCAGTGACCATAAAGCTTATTCACTGGGAGAAGGAATTCATTAGCAGCAGGAGGATTAAGAGTTAGAAATGAAAGATAACAAGCCATGCTTTAATATTTTGGGCAGATTGATGCTTCTGTTACACATATTCATGTAGTTACCCCTTGGTGATTGGAAACACGAGACTGAACCCTAGAAGAGAGCAGTACTTCAGATTGAGGAGTCACTTAGCATGTAGGTGATGATATAAAGGGCTGGATCAAGTTATGTTTACGTAGGGCAGTAGTCTTTTATTTTGCGGATTTTATTGAGAATCTTGAGAGTTCTTTTCCTTCTCTGAAAAATGAAAGCCTATGGCTGAATCCTGAAGAATAAAGCATGATAGAAGGAAAAACAGCAGAGCTTACAAATCAGCATTTTAGTTGGTTGTTACCAGCTGCTTGCTGGTTACGTTGATTTATTCCCTCTTTTTTTGCTTCCCATCCACAAGCCTGAGTTAATATGTATGATTCCTCAAATTGAAGAAACTTCCTTTTCTGGAAGTTTGTGTCTGTGATAGGCTGGGGAGGTCGGCTTGGATTGGGTTTTTTTAGGTGTCCCTTGAATTTGTAACAGGGTAAATTACTTGAGGTTTTTGAAAGTTTTGGTTTCATCCTTTATGTGTTACCTATGGATGGGAATAGTTTCTAAATTATTTAATTTATTACACTGATTCTGTGTTTTTTCAAATTATGAAAGATATTGAGGGAAGGACAGCATATATCTTCTTGGTATCTTAACTTACTGAACTCTTTGTTCTATGCACCATTTTGTGTAGGTTGGTAGGAATACTGTTTCTTCATTACCATAAATTTTATGATACACCTTAGGGAGATACAGTGCTAATGAGATACTGCATTATTAGTTCTGTTATCTTGGCTGATATATTTTAAAATATTTGGTCCTTATCTATGGATTTCAGCAAGGATGAGTTTTTTATAGTGAATTGATGAGTGTCTAGTATTGGTAAATCCTTGACCTTCGACATAGCAGCTTTTGAATGACTTTTGTAAATTGCAAAGCTTTTAAAGCTTGACCTATACCAAGCCCTGACCGTGACATTTTATGTACATTATCCTTTTTATTTTTCAAAATAACTGGTTGACATAGCACATAATATTTTCCTTTGTTGGAAGTGGGGTGGGAAGGATGAGATGCTCAAAGAGCTGTTAAGAAACTTCCTAAAACCTCGAGACTTTCCCTCCTGTATTGGGTCACCTGAGTACTATTTAATGATAGTAGTCTGAGTAAAACCAGTGCTGCCACATTTAAGTCTTGATTGCCTTTGAAAATAGACAGGGTTATTATAATTTGGCACTCTTTGCAGCTAGATAGGCATCCCCAAACTGCGGCCCCCTGATACCATTTATCTGGTCCCCCGCAGCACTTCAGGAAGGGGCACCTCTTTCATTGGTGGTCATTGAGAGGAGCACAGTATGTGGCAGCCCTCCAACGGTCTGAGGGACAGTGAACTGGACCCCTGTGTAAAAAGTTTGGGGACGCCTGAGCTAGATCATAAGATCTAGGTGAAGATTTCAACTTTTCGTTACCTAGTATGATTCATGTTAGGCTTTTGGATTAACTGTACATTTGCTGTTGTACCCCAGGCTTTCTTATTTTTCAAACTAAAGTTTACTCCTTTTTACAAATTACAGTAATATTTATGTGAGGTATTGATTTTTATTGTTCTTATGGTTGTCAGACTTGTTTAAAGAGGATCTTTGTCTAACATGTTTAAGATAGATTACTGCTTATGTTAATAATATGAGATGGCAATTCTTGGACCAGAAAACTAGCCCCCATATTTAATGTAATCTGTAGCCTTTAAAAAAATTACCTTAGTTATTATAACAACACTTTTTATTCTTTTAATCATGAAACACTCTAATTTGGAGGTTTTGTAGGAGAAGCTGGTAAGAAAACAAGCTTGCCTTTCTCCTTCCTTCCCTCCGGTCTTTCCTTTCATCTATCCATCTTTCTAAAGCTCATTGCTCCTTGAAAAGCCTAACATCTCTGTACTTTTATAGATATAAATATCATTGTCTCATCCCTAGAGCAAGTATAACCAAACTGAGTTAAACTCATATGATATGGGACCTAACTACATTCTTAACAAGATTTGTCACTTTTTTAAAAGCTTTGCAATTTACAAAAGTTACGCAAAAGCTGCTGTGAAAGTGTAATTTCTCATGTGGGATGTGGTTAATTATAGGCTGCATGTGCTAGTGCATGACAAATGTTAAAGCTTTACATTAAGCTGTTCATTATTAGGATATTTCATCTTATCTAAAAAACTTTAATTACCTCAGTTCCATGAAATCTATTGTGCACCAAAACTAATCAGCAGTTCTCCTTTGAGCTTTTCAAAGTTCTACTGCTGTCAGTGCTGTGTGTCTAAAACTGGAAGATTCTGTTCTTAGGGAGTAGATATTAATTTAATTGTCTTTCAAATGGTAAATTTTCAAAGAAAAGAAAAAAATCTTAAAATATATAAATACATGTTAAAAGATAAAGTGTATAATAATGTTGATTTTTTTTTTCCTGGGCTTGTGTAGTACCCATTGTTAGTTTTGGGGATAGGGAGGAATTAGGGGTGCTGTACTGAGAGCTTTATAACTGTAGGCATGGGGGAGATTCTGGGATATCTTGATACTGTGTATTTAGTAAGTCCCAAATTAAAACTTGAACTGTTACTATATATTACCTGACTCCCTAAAAATATTACTGTTCTGTTCCTAATTTTGGGGGTTGTATTATTGAGCTACATCAGTATAATGAAGTCCTTATATCTTAAATGACTTCTAGAGACTTTAAAATGAAGATAAATAGTACCTGATCTCCAAATTCATTGGTTCTTTTGTTGTTATTTCTCATTTACTCATCTGTTTAAACTTGATGGTATACAAGGCATCTTAGCCCTCAATACAGTAATTCTGTTTCCTTTTGCTACCATGGGCCCTATCTTTTAAATGATTTGTCTATTAGAATACCTTTGTTAATAACAAGAGCTAAAACTAAAATAACACTATGTAATATTCACTATTTTAGTTCTTTAGATATATTGACTTATTTAATTCTTGTAATAATCTTATGATACTGGTATTTTTCCCATTTTAAAGGTAGTAAAACTAAGGCAGCAAAGTATATAAAAATAAAACTAAATTCATATATTAAATTCTTACTCTTAGAT